TTACATTCCCACCAACAGTGTATAAGTGTTCCAGTCTCTCCACAACCTCTCCAACATTTATTATTTTGTGTTTTTTGGATTAATGCTAGCCTTGTTGGGGAGAGATGATATCTCATTGTAGTTCTGATCTGCATTTCTCTAATGGCTAATGATCGTGAGCATTTCTTCGTGTGTCTGTTAGCCGCCTGAATGTCTTCTTTGGCGAAGTGCCTGTTCGTATCCTTTGCCCATTTTTTAATTGGGTTATTTGTCTTTTTGTTGTTGAGGTTTTGTAGTACCTTGTAGATTTTAGAAATTAGATGCTGATCAGATTTGACGTAGCCAAAATTTTTTTCCCAGTCTGTAGGTTGTCTTTTGACTCTTTTGGTGAAGTATTTGGATGAGCATAAGTGTTTGATTTTTAGGAGCTCCCAGTTATCTAGTCTCTGTTCTGGTGCTTGTGCGTTGTTACTTACGGTTCATATTCCGTCTGTGCCATGTATTAGGGCTCCTAGCGTTGTCCCTGCCCTTGTTTTCTTGTATCAGTTTTCTGGTTTTATTTTTGCATTCAATCCTGGAATTCAGTAATTCATCAAATTATTTTGGTATGAAGAATAAGATAATATGGCTGTGACTTCATTTTTTCCACCCAAATGATAAGCAATTGTCTGAAAACCTTTTTTGAATTATCTGCCCTTTCTGGTGGCTTCATAAAAGGTAATGAAAGAAGCAAGAGAATGAGGGAGTGGGGTTATTATTATTAGCATGAAATACGTTTTAAGATCAAAAGACTTAGGCAAGAGGACTTTAGAGTTTATATCTGAGGCTATATCCTTCTCTCTTGGAAATTTTCACGAGATTGTGCAAAGGAGTGGGGTTTTGTTTTTTTTTTTTTTAACAGTTAAGTGGTTTATTAAGGAGGTTACGGTACAGCTTGGGGTCAGGATCAGGAAGCATGTAGGCAAAGTCTTCTTTCTTCAGTGCAGACAGCTCTCTCAGCTCCTGTAGGTCATATGAGCCGGAGTGAGATATTTGAAGCAGATGTTTTATTAAGGAAAGACCTGAATAAAGCCTGACTTATGCCAGTAATGTGAATGAAGGGAAGAATGTAGACTGAAGGGTTGTGGTGGTGGTTGTGGTGGTTGGGCCTGTTTGTGTCTTTGAAGACTAATAAAAGCTCACCTGTTATGTGATTTGCCTCCACAAAGGGCACCAGAAAACTAGAAACCGCCCCAATTTGGGGAAGTTTGCAAACAAGCCTGAACATTCCAGGGAAAAAGAGAGGGTGAGGGCTGAATTGGGCAAATGGGTGAGTTCTGTTCTACCACATCCTCCTGCTAGCAGAAACGCTTCTTTCTTGCTTCTTTTTACACCCAGGCTTTTAAGCTTTCTACCCAGAGGACACATAAGGAGTTGCTGTTTTGACTTCCTCCAGTAGTAGGATGCGTTGGGTTTCTTCCCTAACAAAGCAGAATGCAGACTTCTAACTGACCGCTGCAGTTCATAAAAGTTGGTTATTTCACTGTTTTATGGTTACCGCAAGGGCTTGACTTTTAACTAACTTTGAAGGGAAGAAATATTAACCTTCCACCCTAGTGTCCACACTACTGAAATAAGATGTCATTGGGTTCTGTTTTGACGGAAGTGTTAGTTTTTTCTTTATTTACTGTGGTTAAATTTTCTGATTTTTTTTTCTTAGGTTGTGACAAAGACCTTTCACAATGCAGGCTTGGTTGTCCCGGTGGATAAAAACGATGTTGGGTACAGAGAGCTCCCTGAGGCAGATGGTAATGTATTCCATATGGACACACATGCATATTTGGATCTGTATGTTAATATACGTACGTGAAGGTTCTCCTTGTATAGGAAGTAGGTATGTACATATGCCTCTTGTGGGACCTGAGTGATAGCAAACTCGTGTTTCAGAACCAGCCGGTCTGGCCTGAATTAAAACTATAGTATCTGTGGTACCTTGAGCAAATTCTTTAAATAATTTTTTATTGTTACAGTTTTTTGTTACTGTTTTTTTTTTTTTTTTTTTAATTTTTTACATGCCTCTGGGGTTACACTGCTTGAGTTTAAATCACACCTTCCCTGTAATTACATGTATTCCTAACCAGTTACCCCTTTGAAGCTTCCTACAATAACATTTTAACCTGGCAAATGAGATATCATTTATTGAGCAATTCTTCAGTGTTCTGATTCACTATATCAAGTGAATGTTGCTTAATATTCACCCAACTGTTTAAAGTAGGTCTTATTCCTGTTTTACAGAATGGAAATAGATCCAGAAAGGTCTAACCAAAAAACCAAACCCATTGCCATCGAGTCGATTCCGACTTATAGCGACACTTTAGGATAGAGTAGAGCTGTGCCATAGGGTTTCCAAGGCGCGCCTGGAGCAGGTAGTCAATGGGGGAGCTGGATCCCACACTAGGGCTTTCTGACTTGAGAGGGCGTGTTGTTGTTAGGTGCTGTTGAGTCGATTTCGACTCACAGCAACCTCATGTGGCAGAGCAGAGCTGTTCCATAGGGCCTTCTGGGCTGTGATCTTTATGGGAGCAGATCACCAGGTCTTTCTCTGCAGAGCCACTGGATGGGTTCAAACTGCCAACCTTTCAGTTAGCAGCCGAGTGCTTAACCATTGTGCCACCAGGGCTCCTTCCCCAAAGTAAGAATACTTGCTTTGTTAGTTGCTTGAATACTACCAGGGTGGCTTAGCGTAAGTATTCCAGTAGCAATGGGGCAAACTAAGGGTTAAGTATTGAAATTCTTAAATCACTAAATTTTGAGTAGCAAAATTTAAGGATTAATTTTTGAGTTAATTAAAGCTTTATGTAGATATTCATTAAGCTTATTCTTTAAGTTTTATAGACATTCTGCGAAGTGAATTTCTGTGAAATGTTTTATTGGTAGAAGAACATATTCTTATACTGGTGATGAGCTGAATGTTTTCATCCATGTTCTTCAGTATTTTATCAGCTTCATAAGTTGCCTGCCTACCCTTTTCTAGTTCATATGTGACTTGCCAGGAGAAAAAACAGAAAATTTAATACGGTAAAACCTGCGAAAGCTGGAACCTGTGTCAGGCGGAGGAAAACTCAAATATTTTCCACTAAAACGAGCGATTCAAAGTTGTGAGGCCTGGAGAAATAAGGCAGTCCCGTCGCGTTCTGCCTGTCCCGGGTTTCGCTGCACGGGAAAGGGGTGAACTGCCGTTACTTGCTGACGGAAGACCAGTAGGTCTGAACTTGCAGGCCAGCCTTAACTGATTTGTAGTGGCTCGTGGAGCACTGTGGGGAGAGAGATTCTAAGGGCCCCAGTCCATCAGTTACCTATCTTCTAAGGGGACAGGAAGGAACCACTTATTTTCCATCCCTAGGAAGACAGTTGTTTTAGAGGAAGCCTGATCTGTTTTCTTGAGAGATTGTCACTGGCTATTCTGAAGGAGGAAAGAAAAGGAAGGTCATGAAGCTATTATAAAATCATTTAACTTGTTTAAAGTTTCCAACCAGTAAATACATCACTGCTGTTGATAGTCAGGGACATACATGCGTGAAAAGTATTGTCATTTGTCGGATGCAGTAACGACCTACTGACGTTGAGAAAGGAAACAAAACACATTCTGTAACCCCACCTGCAGCGTGTGTCCTAATGGACGGCACGACTGAATCGGTCAAGTGATACGTGTAGTCTGAGGTTTAAAGTATTTCTTTACCCCCTTGATGTTAGTGCACCTTTGTGACGCAGTGGTTAAGCACTCGGCTGCGAACCAAGGGGTCGTCGGTTCAGACTCACTGGCTGCTCCTCAGCAGAAGGATGCGGCAGTCTGCTTCCGTACAGATGGCCACTGTGAGGTGCCGTCAGTCGGTTCCAACTCATAGCGACCCTGTGCGCAACAGAACAGAACGCTGCCTGGCCCCGCGCCATCCTCGCAGTCCCTGCTGTGTCTGCGGCCATTGCTGCAGCCACTGTCAGTCCATCTCACTGAGGGCCTTCTACCTTGGAAACCCCGGGGCAGTTCTGGTCCGTCCTGTAGGGTTGCTATGGGTCAGAATCGACTCGACGGCGACGGCAGAGAGATGTTCAGTTGGTGTCAGAACATCGTGCCTCACGTAACTCAGATCGTTCTGAAGCGTAATCGTTAATCTTCCTCTTTCCCACAGCAGCAGCCATATTGTTTAGAAATGCGTTTTGTGGATTTGTTTGAGTAATAGCCACCTTTTCATGAATGGATTATCCTCAAGGAAGAACTATTTGTTAAAAAAGGAAGTCTAATTAGATATTGTTCAGAACCTCCATCCTCATCCATCCTGAGGTCGGATGCGTACTGGCATCCGGAAAGCAGTGAAGAAAAACGTTGACGCCAAAACGACAGTATTACGTCACTGATCGTTTTTCTTTACGTAACTGTTGATCAGAAATTTGCTCACGTTTCTACCGCGGATCACCCTTTCCGCACGGCTGCGGTTTTACTTCCCCAGTGATTTCTTCTCACGTCGCTGGCGTTTTCTGCTTGTTTTAATTCACAAGTCACCAACAATTTTTTTTAATTTGAATAATTAAAGTATAGCATGGGGGGGGGGGGACTGTAAACTTTTTTGTCTGTTTGGATTTTAAAAATCCGGCGCCTAATGCACTGCGTGACGTAGCCCAGAGGCCAGCGCACTTGGCTACAAAGGGCCAGGTGGTAAATGGCAGGCTTTGCAGGCCCGTAAGCTCTGCGGTGTAGTCTGTGTGCGTGTTCTCCAGTCATTTAAAAATGGGAAAACCTTCCTGAGCTTGAGGGCAGTTCAAAGACAGGGAGGGTGGGCCAGCTTTGGCCTGGGGGAGTAGTTTGCCATGACCCCTGGCCTAGCCTACTGACAATCTTTGAAAGCTTTATATAAAATCATGGCAACTAAGTCCATTGTGAAAGTCACATTTTGTAGCTAGTACAAGAAATCTTTTTTGTTAAAACCATTTTTATGCTTGAATCCTAAGGAGAAAAATCATAAAGTTGCCATTCTAGATCACAGTATCAGTTACACTAGTAGAGTCGTACCAGGAAAACCCCTGCAGACGGCCCTTTTACCTTCGGAGATGGCTCTGGGTAACCTTTTTGTGTCCCTGGTTTCCTTCAGCTGACCTCAAGCGAATTTGCAAGACAATTGTCGAGGCGCCAAGTGATGAGGAGAGACTGAAAGCTTTTGCCCCCATTCAAGAAATGATGACTTTTGTGCAGTTTGCCAATGATGAATGCGATTATGGCATGGGGCTTGAGTTGGGAATGGACCTCTTTTGCTATGGTTCCCATGTGAGTAAAAACCTCCACCTGTCAGTCCCCGTCCACCCCTGCCTGCCCGCGTGACCCAGAGCCACACACATGACCCAGGTCCACGCGTAGGTCGGCTGTGGATCTGGCTTGTGTTTCAGAAAGAACTTTTAAAGTGATGTCAGCAACTGTGCTAAGAATATGTTTTATTTGAAGTTCATTTTGTATTTTGGCAAAGGCTGGTAACCACGATTATTTGCCTTCCGGTTCACACTGAAGTGGTAGGCGTGTGCCCTTTAGTGTTTGAGGGTGGGTGTGCGTGAGCACAGGTACACCCACCTTTCCTTTGGCTTTGTTTTTTTTTCCATTATACTGGGATACTTCTTATTGTGTGTGAATTCTTAGGTGAAGAATGAATACTATTTTAAATACACTTTAAATTATTGAAAGATACAGTTTTATCCTTAATTGTTTGCTCATTAAATAGGAAAAATTTACTTCATGTTTAATCGGCGCTCGAGGTAGCGGTGGGTTAGTGGTAGAAATCTCGCCTTCCATGCAGGAGACCCGGGTTCAATTCCTGGCCAGTGCAACTCATGTGCAGCCACCATCCATCTGTCCGTGGAGGCTTGCCGGTTGCTATGATGCTGAAGAGGTTTCAGTGGAGCTTCCAGACTCAGACAGACTAGAAAGAAAGGCCTGGGGATCTACTTCAAAAGTCAGCCAGTGAAAACCTGCGGACCCCATTTCTTTATGCAGCAACCAGTCAGTGCTCACTCAGCTGCAGTTGCCCAGGTCAAAGCGGTGATAAGGCGCAGTGGCTGACACACCCCTGGGTTTACAATGCTTTGTGTGTAGAGCACATCTTCCCCACTTACTAGCTGTGTGAGATAGGGCAGTTTCTCCAACACCTTTTTGTCTGTTACCTTGTAAAGTTCATCCTCACGTCTGCACACACACCATTTAATTCTCATTTCACCTACAATGTCACCGAGGCGAGACATAAAACACCTTGCCCCAGGTGACACCCAGGCAGTCTGGTTCCAGCATCAGTGTCTAAACCAGTGACTCCCCAAATTTCCAAGTGTGGGTGAACCACCTGGAGATGCTGCTAACATGCAGACTCTTTCGGTAGGCTGCGGTGAGGCCCGGGACTCTGCATTTCTCGCACACTTGCTGTGGGGGTCACACTGCTGCTCTGCAGACCACTGTGAGGCTCTCTAACTTTAATGGGCATCAGAGTCACCTGGAGGGCTTGCTGAAACAGACTGCTGTACCCAACCTCCAGGGTTTGCTTCTGGCCTGGAGTGGGGCCTGAGAATTTACATTCCTAACAAATTCCCAGGTGACGTTGATGCCTCTGGTCTGGGGACACAAATTTGAGACCCTTGCTCTAAACCATATTATACTTTCTCTGACTACCTTGTATGTGGTTGTTGTCTGTAAAAATAGTGAAAACACTTAAGAGCCAGTTATAACAGCCATGGAACAATCAGAATACATGCTTGACTGCCAGATGGACCAGTTATGAGTACATAGAGCAGACAGTGTGAACCTGATGGACCAGCTGTGAGTACATA